AAAAAATCCCCAAAAAATTCACAAAAAACTCAAAAAAATTCACAAAAAATCCCGGGAAAAATCCCCCAAAAATTCACAAATAATCTCGGGAAAAATCCCGGAAAAAAAATCCCCAAAAAATTCACAAAAAATCGCGGAAAAATCCCGCAAAAAACCCCAAAAAATTCACGAAAAATCGCGGGAAAATCCCCAAAAAATTCACCAAAAATCGCGGGAAAAAACCAAAAAAATCACAAAAAATCGCGGGAAAATCCCCCAAAAAACCCACAAAAAATCGCGGGAAAATCCCCAAAAAATTCACAAAAAATCGCGGGAAAATCCCAAAAAAAATTCACAAAAAATTCACAAAAAAACCAAAAAATTCACAAAAAATCGCGGAAAAATCCCCAAAAAATTCACAAAAAATCGCGGGAAAATCCCCCAAAAAACCCACAAAAAATCGCGGAAAAATCCCCAAAAAATTCACAAAAAATCGCGGGAAAATCCCCCAAAAAATTCACAAAAAACTCAAAAAATCCACAAAAAATGGCGGGGAAATCCCCAAAAAATTCAAAAAAAATCGCGGGAAAAATCCCCAAAAAATTCACCAAAAAACCTCAAAAAACCCATAAAAAATCGCGGAAAAAATCCCGGGAAAAATCGCAAAAAAATTCACAAATAATCCCGGAAAACACTGAAAAAATCCCCAAAAAATTCACAAAAAACTCAAAAAAATTCACAAAAAATCCCGGGAAAAATCCCCCAAAAATTCACAAATAATCTCGGGAAAAATCCCGGAAAAAAAATCCCCAAAAAATTCACAAAAAATCGCGGAAAAAATCCCCAAAAAATAACAAAAAATTCCACAAAAACCACAAAAAATTCACAAAAAATCCCGGAGAAAACTCAAAAAATTCACAAAAAATCCCGGAAAAATCCCGGAAAAATCCACAAAAAATCCCACAAAAAATCCCACAAAAAAAACCCCCAAAAATAAAAAAACCCACCCAAAACCAAAAACAATCTCAAAAAAACACCCAAAAATACGGAAAATTTTTTTTTAAAATATCCCTCACAAAGCTAAGGAAAAAAATCTAAAAAAAAAGCCGAAAAAAAGCTCAAAAATCCCCACCGAAAATGCCGAAAAAAACTTTAAAAAAAAAGAAAAAACCAACCAAAAAGGACCCCAAAAACGCCCAAAAATTCCCCCCCAAAAAAAATCCCAACCCCTCCCAAAAAAATCCCCCCAAAACCCACCCGGGAGGGGCCTCGCCATCCCATAATAAGCCCCGGGGACGCCGTGATGGTTTTTGGGGGGGGGAGGGGGGAGGGAGAACCGGAGGAGCGTCACCGTTACCATGGCAACAAAGGGCTTAACAATGGCGGGCACCCCCAACCCCCGTGGCGTTGCCATGGCGACGGGGAGGGGGCGGGGAAACGCGTTTTTTTGGGGGCGTCGCCGTGCACCCCACTATTCTCAAGCTCCACCCCTTGGGGTTTAAGCCCCACCCCCTTGTCTTTAAGCTCCACCTCCTTGTCTTTAAGCTCCACCCCTTGGGGTTTAAGCTCCACCCCCTTGTCTTTAAGCTCCACCTTACTGTGCTCAAGCTCCACCCCCTGGGGTTGAAGCCCCACCCTGCCAGGTTTAAGCCCCACCCCCTCACTGTTCTCCTCCATCTCTCCTTTAAGCCCCACCCCCTCCCCTTTAAGCCCCACCCCCTCACTTTTAAGCTCCACCCCTTGACCTTTAAGCTCTGCCCCCTGGGCTTTGAGCTCCACCCACTTGTCCATAGGCTCCGCCCCACAGAGCTCAAGCTCCTCCTCCCAGTCCTCAAGCTCGTCCTCCAGGTCATCAGGCTCCGCCTCCCAGCCTTCAAGCTCCACCCCCCACACCTCCAGCCCCTCGTCATCGGGCGCCCTAAGCCACGCCTCCTCCAGCGACCAATCCCAGGGGTCTTGCGCCTGATTGGCTGCGGCCGCCAGAGGCATGAGGTCATGGGTGGGATCCAGGAGGGGCGGGGCTGGGTGCTCATTGGCTGTGAGTCTGGGAGCTGCATTCTGATTGGTCAGGGGTTGTGGTGCTGTGTTCTGATTGGTGGATGGTGCTGCTCTGTCCTGATTGGCTGCAGATTTGTGTCCTGAGTCCTCATTGGTTGAAGTTTTGTGTGCTGTGTCCGCATTGGCTGGGGGTTTGAACCCTCTGTTCTCATTGGCTGGAGCTTTGTGTGCTTTGTCCTCATTGGTTGGTGCTTTGCATGCCGCGTTCTCATTGGCCGCCTGTGTCTCCTCGCTGCAATTGGTCACCTCCCGCGTCTCTGCGTCCTGATTGGCTGAGCCGCAGCTCCTCCCCCTCTCATTGGCCAGTCCCTGCAGCGGAACATCCCCATTGGCTGCTCCTAATCCCCCATCTCGCTGCTGATTGGCCGCCGCTTCCTCCAGGTCTTTGCTCCCATTGGCTGCCCCAGGAAACGCCGCTCCCTCATTGGCCAATGCCGCTCCTTCCATCTCCTCTCAACCAATCGCGATCTTCCTAAAAGCAAAGGGGGTGGTCACAAAAAGGGGCGTGGTCTCCATTAAAAGGCCCTACAGCCGTTAGGAGGCGTGGTTACGTTTTAGGGGCGTGGCTCTATCTGAGTGGGCGTGGCCTGACCGCGATTCCCCTTGAGGCAGCTGACAGCGAAACCCCCTCGTCCTCCCCTTGCCGTGACGTCACTTCCGCTCTGTCCCCGCTAGGCCTTGCCGCGCCGCTGCGCGGTTGCCATGGCAACCCCGCTCTCCCTTTCCCGTCCCACCGGGCCCGGACCCGCCTCTTACCGGCTCGGGGGTCCCGGTTCTCCACTCCGGGACCGCAATTCGGGCCGGTGCCGCCGCCCCGGGCCGGGACCCGCCGCCGCTTCCCCTTTAAAACCCTGAGGGAGCCCTGAGGGAGGCCGGAAGCGCCGCACCGCGCATGCGCCAAGAGGCGGGCGGGAATTCTCCTCTCTGCTATTGGCCGGAGCGTGAGGCCGGGCGAGCGCCGGATTGGCTGGCGGCCAGAAGGGGCGTGGCCAAGCGGCGTGAGGGGGGGAAGATGGCGGCGGCGGCGCTGGCGCCGGAGCTGCTGGTGCAGCTGGACCCGGGGCGCTTCCGAGCCGACAATTTACTGGGGGCCGAGGATTGGGGTGAGGCCCGGGCCTGGGGAGG